CCCTACAGTCTGTGCAGCCTGCTTTGTAGGGTTCCCTGACCCCAGAACCTACAAGCCTAAACCCCTAAACCCTAAACCCTAAACCCTAAACCTTAAACCCTAAACCCTAAACCCTAAACCCCAAGCCCACATCCCCTGAACCTTGAATCTAGGACATTTTCAGGTGGGTAGTTACCGTTATAGAAGCCTTATAGAAGCCCTACCTTAAGAACCCCAAACCCACTTTTTTGTAGGGTCCCTTTAAATCCCGTATTAGGGTTTATGATAAGAACCCACAAAAAAGTGGGTTTTGGGTTCTTAAGGTAGGATTCCTGAAAAGAACTATTAAGGTAGGGGGCCTAAAATTATTACTGTACTATTCTGGAGTGCCTTATTGTGGTTTATGGTATAAGAGGGCTTAGGCTTTTCGGTGGTTTATAGGTCTATACCTGGACCCCAAAAGTATGCAAAATAATGGCCTTTTGAAGGTCTTGGGCTATTATGTCACCTACTTCTTGGGGGTTTTATTAGGGTTTAGGGGTTCTGGGCATCAGGGTAAAAGCTAGGGGTTTAGGCTGCAGTGTGACGGCTCAGGACTCTAAACCCCAACCCCAAACCCCTTACCCCTAAATTTTCAGCGTATGGGAATGTCAGAAAACTTGGGTGCCTTATTCTGGGGTCCTTATAATAAGGATCCTACTAGTTGGGGTCCTATATCAGGGTCCCTTATTTTCTGAAACTCCCCTGTAGATCCGGAGTGTGGGTGCCTGGAGTGTCCACTCTCCTCCGGGATGCTTTGGGGGCTCTGGGATTCGAAGGTCGTCTGCAGTTTCAGGATTAGCGTTTTAGGGTTTAGGGTGCTTTAGGGATTCGGGTTTAGGGATTAGGGTTTAGGGTTCAGGTTTAGGGTTCAGGGTTCGCGGCTAGGGGGCTTTGGGGGACAGCCTCCGACTCATGGCAGTTGGCTTGAACCATCATTTCTGAAACCCGCAGGCTCGGGGGAGACGCATGAGCATCCTTCAAGCCTAGACCCTAAAACCCCAAATCCCTCATGACGACCCGAAGCCCAGAACCGTGGCCAGGAAAATCAAGACACCCTACACCCTGAACCCTAAACCCTAAATCCTAAGCCCTAAACCAGAGTGGTATAGAAGCCCACGAGCCTCAATGCGTGACATGGCCGAACGTTATCATCTGCAAGGTGTCGGCGACTTAAGATTCCCCCATCTTCAGTGTCAGCAGTGGAATAGTTGGGCATATGGAATATGAATCAAGGGATATTGGGCGATTTGGGCGCCAGGCATTTCGACAAGTTCCTCAACCCGCAAAGAGCCAATGCGCAATTGCAATCTAAGCTGCTGCTGCGCGAATCTGCAAAGCCCGCAAGCTTGCGTAGGTCGCCGATCTTACGCGGTTCAGGCCCTAAACCCTAAACCCTGAGCCCGAAATCCCAAAGCATGAACCCAAAGCGCTGTACCCCTAAACCCTAAAAGCCATAGACCCCTGAACCACAAGACATATATATCCTAAACCCTTCGAGCAGTCGGAGTCTCAGTCCTCAAGAAGGGTTCTAGACTTCATAAAAAACTGAAGCAAGTTTGATTGAAAAGGCAGGCCCTTCGAGGAACTTATAGAGGAACTGAAAAGTCTGTGTTATTGTATTTCTAGCTATCCTGACCTCTGTATTGCGGATTGCTTTACAATACAGAACCAGACGGGTACTAGGGGGCAGTTTGGAATGAGTGTAGTTTAGGGATGGAGGGGCCCACGGCTGAAGATATTGAAGTGAATACGGTCTCGGCTTTAGGGTTCAGGTTTAGGGTTTAGGGTTTAGGGTTTAGGGTTTAGGGTTTAAGGTTTAAGGTCTAGGGTTTAGGATGTTGATAGCTTTGCGAATCTGGTAGATGGCCACCCTTCCCGACTGAGGCATCCCTAAACCCTAATCCCTAAACTCCTAAACCGTCAACCCTAAACCCTAAACCTTAAACTCCTAAACCCGACCCCATGCCTGCTTTTCCTAGGTTCCTCGTTATGCTCTGGTGTTCCTATGTCTGCCGCAGGGCAGCAATGCGGACTCAGCAGACTGACAAGCAATTCGTAATATGTAGTATATATGGGGGTATATACTACTATAACTTTAATGTAACATTAGGGGACATTGTACTATTTATAAAGAAAATAGCATTATATATATATATATATACGTATATATCTATATATATATATAACACAAGAAAAAGATAGTACTACATGGGCTAGCAGATACTATTATTTCAGGCTGAAACATGAGAAGGTGCACCCTAGGTCAGACAAGCGCCGTTACATCGTCACAGACCCCCAACCACCCTCTAATCTACACAAAGTACCCACTCTATTAAAGGGCACTTGGGGTGTTCCTGCTTATGCTTGATGGTTTAGGGGTTTAGAGGGTGAGGGTTTGGCGGCCGAGGGTTCAGCGGTTGCACGGTTTGGGGCTTCATTTCTACGGCTCTCTTTCCCTAGACAGTAAAACTAATTACTGGGTTGCATCGTATATGACAGGTTACCTACTCCATAGATAACAGGAGTTCTCATTACGACTGACGTTGTTTAGTTGTCGTGAAGTGAGGCACCAAGACAGCCCTATACCGTACGCCTTCATTGCCTCACAGGGGCCTTAAGTTCATATTCAGTATTACCGAAACCCCCACAAGTAGGTAAAATAGTGGCCCAAGACCTTAAACAGGCTATATTATTCTACATACTTTGGGGGTCCAGGTATACAATGTGTTTATCTAGGTCTAAGCCCCATCAACTCTGAACACGGCACCCTTGGCCCTCAACCCAGGAATCCGAAACCCTGCAACCCTGCCGTAACCCTGCCCAAACCACCACAATGTTGAACCCGAACCCTAAACCCTAAACCCCCTAGTCTTCGAAACCCAAAGTCAGCCACCTCGAAATTCCGAAGCCCTCTGACTTAGAGCCCGACAAACGTCCCACCAAAGCCCCTCAAATCCTAAACTATCTCTTAAAAGAAACTCAAACCCCAAGAATAAAAGCCCTAAACCCCCAAACCCTAAACCCCCAAAGCCCTCAACCCCCAAAACCCTCAACCCCTAAAACCCTCAACCCCTAAAGCCCTCAACCCCCAAACCCTAAACCCCCAATGCCCTAAACCCCCAAAACCCCCTCCGAAACTTCTAGGCCTCACAGCACGAAGGAAAGCTCGGGTGACCAAGACAGCGAGGGGGGTGCCTTTGGGCTTCCTCTACAAAGCGCTTGGCGTCGGGTGGTTCGTGTTCTCCTGCCAGAAGGCATTTTGGGATTTAGGGTTTAGAGGTTAGGGATTTTGGGTATGGAGTTTAGGGATTAGGGTTTGGGGTTCGGTTTAAGGTTAGGGTTTAGGGTTTAGGGCTTAGGATTCAGGATTGCTGGGGGCTTAGGGGCGTAGGAGAACTGAAGGTTTTAAAGCCAAAGATGTTTAGGAAGAACACTGCTAACAGTTGGGTGAAGGATTCTGATTCTACGGCTTTCCTTCAGTCGATACGCTGGGGTTCCCTCAAATTGGATTCAACAGCGACTTTAAGTGTTGTTGAACACAGACTACGAGTAAAACAACCTTATGGCTTGTAAGATGCTGCATGACTCCGTTGCTGCAGGCTGTACTGTATCCCGAATACCTGAAGTCTTATGAACCCATTGCCATTGCAATTCTGCCTTCGAGATGGCGCTGAGGATATAGGGCAATGCCAAATTTTAAAAGCCATGCAAATGAGGGTTGATCTGACTGTGCCCCCCCCCTGTGAGTATCTTCAATATCGCAGCCACCTTCTCGAAACCATATACTACACAGCCTTGCACCAGATTCCTCGTGCAAAATAGCAAAACAGCTCCAAAGTCGTGCCAGAGAAGTTGGGCATTTGCGTTGATCAAGAAGAAGAGCTCCTACCCAACCCTAAGCCCGAAGCCCAAAGCCCTGAACCCTAGACGCG